CCCTTCCCCTTCCCCTTCCCCTTCTCCTTCCCTTTCCCCTTCCCCCTTCCCCTTTCCTTTCCTTTTCTTTCATGATCTAGAATTTTTTTTCAGAGTACTGGCCACTTATTTTGTAGAATCTCTCAAGTTGTGTTTGTCTGTTTCTTCATGATTAGCTGCAGGTTTGGCAGGAACACCAGAGAAGTGCTATGTCCTTCCCAGTGTATCAGATCGGGAGGCGCATGACATTGACATGTTTCATTAATGATGATTTTAACTTTGGTCACTTGATGAAACCTGGTGTCTGCCAGGTTTCTTTATTTTAAAATACGATTTTCCCCCACCTAATTAACAGGCGTTTTGTGGGGAAATACTTTGAGATTATGTAAATTTCTACAGGCTGGCTTTTTATTTTTCACTCCCAGCAGATCTCCTGGGGAGTATAAAGTATCCGCACAACTTGCTTTCTTAGGCAGGACTCCTTTTCTTTAATCTTGGGTGGGTGTGTGTGTGTGTGTGTGTGTGTGTGTGTGTGTGGTGGGTGATTTGTGTGCCAGAGTGGAGGCACATTTGTGATTAGGGGGACGTGTGTGTGTGTGTGTGTGTGTGTGTGTGTGTGTGTGGTGGGTGATTTGTGTGCCAGAGTGGAGGCACATTTGTGATTAGGGGGACGGGACCATGTGAAATGGCTTGGTGGGAAACATTGGTGATGTGTGAAGTTATTTTTGTTCCTCATCTTCTCCAGAAAGGGAAAACACACATGGGTGAATTGCAGGGAATACACACACTCAACAGATCCTGGCATTTGCTTGCTGGAGTAAATTGCATGGCTGCTTCTTCCCCCTGCTATTGTTTTTACTTAGAGGGTTCTAAAGGAGGAAATGCAAAAGTAGCAACATCGTAAGAACAACCCTCCTGGTGCTAAGAAAATGCTGTGGTCGGTTGGGGCACATGAGCCCGGAGAACAAGAATAGACTGGATTCCCATATGTTAACGGTATGTTATGATTAGCTTTTAAATGACAAGGATCCGCAGACTTCTAAGAAGGCATCACTACACGATAATAACACAGTTTGGCAAAAGGTGTTGGTACAATATTACAGCAGTTAGAAGGGTGAGTCTACCAATGTTCTTGACTCACCAGCTTCTCTCCAAGAGACCTAGGTTAAATCTGAGAGACAGCAGTCTTGCATTAACGTTTTCAGAAGCCTCTCATTAATCTGCTTAGAAATCTTTGCCAGCCCTGTGGCATTTTGGTCAAAGAGGGCGGTATCTACGGGAGGTCTTTGGAATGAAAGTTCTGTACGGTTCTTTAACTGCTGGTGCAGACATGGGCGGGGGTGGTGGAGGAGATACTTTTCTTTCATTCTTCTTACCCAGAACAGAAAAATCAGAATCCTACATTTTCCATTAGAGTAGGCTTTCAAAAATAAAGAACATAAACTGTCCTTCGTTTAGCCCTTATGTCCTATTCATGTGTAGTTTGATATACGAGCCCAACGTCTACCCTTGCCCATGAGGTTTTATCTTGAAGATTCTGGCCTTTTAATCTCTTATCTTTTCCAGTCGTTTTTTTTCTGTCTTCAAATATATTTAAAGATCAATTTTTATCTAAATCTAGGATAGAATTACCTTCTGCTCTGGGCTCAGGGATGAGCAACTCTCCTGCTGTGTTTTTTCCTGAAGTTCAACTTATCAACCCGCCTCATCGCCTGGATGTGTATGGCTGTGTATCTCAAATACGGAAAAACTATTGATATAGTATTATTTATTGCAGAATCATAGGCTCCTTAGAATTAGACTTCTCTCCTTCCTATCCAATGCTAACATACCCTCTGTCATACTCCTAAAAATATTATTTTCAGATCTGTTAAACATGCCCAATGACAGAGAGCTCAGTACTGGACAAGGCAAACATTTCTATAATTAAAGAGATTTAACGTGTTGAGCTAAAATTTGCTTGTCTGTAAC